TTTAGATCTCTGCGCGTACATATTATATACCATATATACTTACAATAGTTAGATCGATATGACTTTTCGAATAGGTGGCAACGCTAATCAAAAGTATTTTCAACCTAGAGATTTTATAAAACTACTTTGTTTTACTCGCATATTTAAATATATAACATACATTTCTTCGGTATAAAATAACAAAATTGCGATGTTCACACAGGTGTCAAGCCTTTTCAAAAGTATTTTAAACTTAAATCGGCTTGAAAATTTTTTCGCCTGACACTGGGATACAAAATTCAATTAGTTTCTGAGTTATGTTGAATTTGATTTTCCAAAACGTGGCAACTCTTCTAAATAAAGTTCATAAAGCCTTTCAAAATCCACTTTGCTTGATAGCCATCTTTTAATAATGCATTTAACTTATTAAATGATTTGACTTATTAAATAATTGAAACCGATGGCAACCCTTTTCAAATACCTCGAACATATGCTAAATGTTCAAACTGAATATTTCTTTGTTTGATTCCTACATATATTTTAATATTTTATACAATTTGCGTATAATTTAATTAAATTCGCAATTCAAGTTTAATTCGATTTTTGATACAAATGTCAACATTCCTAAATATAGTTCGGATATCAAGCTGCCACGCCCCCTTGTTATATCGAGGTCATAACCATCCTTAGAGTATAGATTTGAATGAAAGTTAATACAATTTTTATTATTTAACGATTTCAGAGTACATTTTGTACGTACTGCTTTGGATCGTTTGCATGGATATTTTCGCAGTAAACCCCGATCAACTTAATTGTAATTTGGGAGTGTATGGGTTGATTTACTAGAAGTCTTCTTGTTTATGTAGCTATGTATTAATTTTGCACAGAATAAGTGGTAATTTGACCTACAGCACAGTTTCTATAGAAAGCCCTACGTCATTGCTATGCAGTTCCCTCAAATATCACTGTGGCGGGGTACCCCTTTAAGTCTAAATGGAAATGGGTAACTTATCCTTCCCAGGAAACAGATAAATTCTGTCTATCTAGAAACCGCACTTTTAACTTTCTGTTATAGAATTTGAAGTAAGTAAGTATGTACATAATTATACGCATCTTTCAACTTAAAGTCTATCTAGAGATCTGACATCCCAGCAGAATAGATAAAAACCCCTTCGATGACGAAAAAATCTTAGTACCAAAATTAATTCAGTAATCAAACGAATCTAACCAAAAAGAAAGGTGTCGCTACGAAGATGTGAAAAACAAATATCAGAAAAAACCAAGAATATAAAAAAAAAACGTTGAAAAGCATGCAAGATGAAAAACTATTCCGAATAAAATTGGCGCAAATAAACGTGTAGTCGCACCGAAGACGCTTAGGGTCATTTTCACCATCTCTGGTTAACACTAATCCCCAGTTAAACACCGTTACCGTCGTTACTGACTCCATGCATATAACATTGTTTCGACAACGTCGGTAATGATGTTTAACTGGAGATTAGTGTTAACCAGAGATGGTGACAACGGCCCTTAGAGGTGCAGCAGCAGGAAAGAGAGCCACATGACGGCCAGATATTACTCGGAGACATGCTCACTCACGCTGAGAGGCTGTGGTGTGGAGCGAAGCATAACTGGCATAGGCGACAGCGTTGACGGCGTGAAAACAGCTGCGGCCAATTTTGGAATGGAACAGAAACAGGAGGGGAGGGAGAATGTAAGTGTTGGCAAACGGATGTATCGCGCCAACACATATACTTCCGCTTTTCGCCACTTTTGGTTTCAACTGGCTGTCAACTAACGGTGAGACTACAATACATTTATTTATTTTTACTTATTTTTTTTTTTGCCAGCCAGCGCACCATGTGTTTTGCTGGCGTGGCAATTGTTTGTTATCGCTTTTTATTGTTATTGTTAATGTATGTACATACATATGTATATATGTAAAGATATATATTTTTATTGCTTTCACTGCCGCCGCATTCAATGCCAAATCATTACATTACGTGAAATGGGTTTTCAAATCTTTTCAGTTGGCTTGAGTGCTGGCAGAATTTTTTTTTTTGTTTTGGTCAGGGTTTGAAAATGCTGTAATATTTTTATTTAATTTGCTTTTGCTGTGCTTTGACTTCGGCATGTATGATATCGAAAGCAAAGCAAAAGCAATTCAGAAAAAAGCAAATGCTTTGGCTGCCGTTTTGCTATGAAATTTCGAAAGCAAATTGTGGAAGCACAAAGACAGCGCAGCAGCAGCAAATCAACAGCAATTTGATTATAAATTTGCTGCGAAGCATCGAATTGGCAGAAATAGAGGATATTATATGTATGCGTGCGCAAATCCACTAGTCGCTTACCCTGATAAGCTTTGCACTGATGGCGGAGTTAATATGTACTTAGATAATATACCACGCTGCAAAAGCGTCATGTGCACAACACAGCCAAGCAGATAACAGCACAGCAAAAGCACTATCACAGCAAATCGAAAGCAATAAAATTGTTTAAATAAACTGCCGATAAAAAAAAAATAAACTTTTCAAAGTTACAGCAAAATCAAAGCAGTTCGAACCGAAATCGAAAATTTCAAAGCTAAGCAAAAGCAAAAATAGTAATGCCGTTGCTGCTTTGCTGACAGTTTTTCAAACCCTGGTTTTGGTTTGAAGGAAGGTGTGTGTGTGTGCGTACGCGTGCGTTTTAAGTACATGCCCTGCAGAAAATCAAACTGGTTCAGAACTTGCGCTGAGCTAGCCTGAAAAGGGACGGTACTGGTTCTTCATCTATCCCAACTCAATGCTTGCAACTGTCTTTTTTAACATGGCGATGTCCTACGAAGTGACAATTGTCGCCCTCTGCAGAACTTTTGAACTTGTTCTGAGCTGACTCTGGCTTAGATGGTTCTAATACAGTTCATATAATAACAGTTCTTGGATAGTTCAAAAAGGGTCACCTCCGGGCTAGAAAAAATGTGGTTAGTTTTGAGCTGGTTCTAATAAGTATAGTATAGAACCTTTTCTGTAAATAAGTACGCATACAATTTTGTAAATAAAAATACTTCATTATATGTTTCAAGAGCTATTTGTTTTGAACTAATTTACTTTTTGACGCAAACTGTGCTTTAAATTTAGGAACATAAAGTGTCAATTATTCCTTTACTTTCTAAAACCGTTATTCTTAAAACAAATTTATATTTTTTACGTATAATGGGTATTTCTGGGATCCCTATAATTAAAAATCTGAACTTAGTCGTGTCAAAAAATGAGAAAAACGGTAATATATTGAATGATTATTTGTGATAACTCAGCGTTAAATTGCATTAAATTTATTGAAATGTAATACATAGATTTTCCGGCATCTCATAAGAAATATAGAATTTTGAATATTCACAATAGTTTTCATGCTAAATATTTTTCGTAAATTTTTTATTTAAGGATGGTTCATAAGTATTATAACATAAACAAATAAATTCACGTTTCTAACTGTGTTGGAAATTTAGTAGAATTCTAGAAACTGTTATAAAAACTTCAATATTTTAAATCAGAGTTTATAAGTATGCAGTACTATAGCCCATTAAATTTTAGTATAATTAATCGCGCTGATTTGTTATAACTCTTTTTACGCACGCTCTTGAAGGCATTCTCCTATTTAAATATTTTCGTTTAAGGTGCAAGATTACACTTTACTACACTAAAATTTTATGGGCTACAAAACAGAATACTCGAAATATTTATAAAAAATATCTGATTAAAAATTTGAAATTTTGAAGACAGTTTTTAGAGTTCTATAAGTTTGCAGCACAGTTAGGAATTTGAATTTAAATGGTTTATGGAGTACCCCAGCCAGCAAGCTCGTAAACGATAAAACAAAAAAATATAAAAGAAAGAGGCTTGTAGTAATCTGTCAGCACAAGAAAAAATTTTAGTTTTGTTGACAATTTTTCTTCAATCACAATATTTTATAAGTAAGTAGTTTGTTAAATATTCAATTTAAGATAATTATAAAGTATGTGATTTATTGGCGGACTGGTGCAAACGCAAAGGACGATCTACCACTTTCTTTTATAATTAAACTTCTTGTAAGTAGCTACTACATATGTAATTCAAAAATACAAATTAATTTAACGAGTTTTGCAATTCCTTCACAGGCTGCGCGGAGCAACACTAAAGGATTTAAACGTTTAATTCCCCTATAGCGCTATTGGTTTGGCAACGACTGCGGCAATAAGAAGTACGGATAATAATATTATTTATTACCACTTTTTACTTAATTAAATTTTCCGATTTCCAATGGAGTTTAATCTTTCACTTTATTTTCTTAGGTGCTTTTCGTCAAAAATTTAACTCCGACGAAGAAGTTTTTATTTCCGTTTCAAAGAAGCACTTCCAATATGCACACGACCGGCAAAAAAAATTGGCAGCCTATCGGCGAGAAAGATAAAAAATAAATTCAGCTACTTTATAATATATATTAAACCCCTCTTATTTAACTGTTAATTTGTTAACAGATAGTTTGTTAATATTTATTTATCTGAAAATATCTTCACATATACAGTGCCGGGAACAAATATTGGCACAGAGAATTTTTCGGCATGAATGCAAAGATTTTTATTCTGATTTCTTTTCTAATTGTTTTTTATAAAAATATAGTTAGTATGAAGTTCTACTTTCAAATCAGATTTTTTAGAAAAATTGTAAATATGCAGTTTTATAGCGGATTCAATTTTAGTATAATAAAGTGCACGCTTGAATAGCTAGAAAACCTCTTTGTTTTTTGGCAATTTTTTATACGCAGTTTCTTCCATACAAAAACAAAATGTCGCCCATAATTTGCACGGAAGAAACTGCGTAAAAAAATTGCCAAAAATCAACGTGGTTTTCTGGCAACTTCAAGCTTGCACTATGTTATACTAAAATATAATGGAATATAAAACTGCATACTTAGAATTTTTCTCAAAAATCTGATTTGAAAGTAGGTCTTCATACTAACAGCCTAATTCTGTGCACTTGACAATTTAACAGAAAGTTGACAAATAATCAAGATTTTTATCAAGTTTAAATCTTTTCGGCATTCTGTGCATAACTTGATAAAACTAAAAAGCTTTTACACCCTGTGCTTTTCCCCACACTATGGTGAAAATCGTAATGTAAACAGAGCTCAGCTGTTTAGTGCAAGAAACTGCCGAATGGAGTCCTCAGAAACGTAAGAATTTCAGTTTTACATTACTTTTATATAATATAAGCTATTTATTTACAGAAAAACAAAACACGATCGTGCTACGCAGGAGCAGTTGCAGCGTTTTGTCTCATTTGTCCGGGCTAATCCTGATATGGGGAAAGGAAAGAATAACCCGAAGTCGCCACAGAAAATGCAGTGCTTATGGAATCAGTTGGCGGACGAGTTGAATGCATTGAGGGGACCAACACGCACCGCAGTAAAGTGGAAAGAGGTAATTTATTTTATCTCAGTTATTATATGCTTATACATGTATGTATATGAATGTATGTACATACATATGTACATTAATATATATGAATGGATATCGTTGTTTAATGTTGCCATAATTTTAGACCCTCGGAGTTTGGAAGAGCCAATTGCGTACGCGAGCACGCAGATTAAAAATGAGTCAAAGGATTACTGGTGGCGGTCCAGGTTGCAAACAGCTGAGCGAATTTGAAGAGCGTGCTTTGGCCACTTTTGGTTCGGCTGCAGTTGGTGGCGTAGGTGTTGAAAGTTTTGAGCTAAGGCCATCAATGTCTGAAGAGTTATTGGTGGAGTGCCCCGCGTCTACAATGGCGAGTACATTGCCGATTCCGGCACCACAGAGCCCAGCACTGTTATTGAACCCTTCACCATCGCCGGCCGTTGCACCAATATCAATCATTGTGCCATCGCAAAGCGTTTACCACTGTTGAGTCCCACATTATCGCCGACCACCGCACCGATATCAAGCATTGCAATATCGCCGAGCGCTACACAGTTGTTGAGTTCTTTACCGTCGCCGCATGCATCAACGTCGTTTGACGTGGAAATTCCAGTAACTTCAAAATTGTTTTTGCGTATACTTTTTTTTAATTAGCTTTATTTATTAAAGAATGATACCCTGTTGGATGTCGGCTCATCGCGTCCATCACGTGGGGAACGAAAAAAACTTATGAATGCCCTCATTGCTAATATAGCAAAAAGAGGTACCATCGAAGAACAGAGGCAACGTCGCGACGAGGAGCAACGCCAGGAGCACCTTGAAACGATGCAGGCTATCAAAGGGCTAACGAGCTGTGTGGCTGAGCTAATACAGGTTTTGAAACCAAATTAAATAAACTTGCCAAACAAGTTTTAACAAGTGCTGAAATCTACTTAAAGTACCTGCCAAAATTGTTGATGTTAATTTTTATTTGGCAATGTTTTATAAAAATATACAGTGACCAAACAATATTGTACAGGGATGTGCCTAATATGTTCATAATGTTTTGAATTAGGAATTTTATTCGGCATTTTTTTATAAAAGTATGACTCATCTAACAAAATCGAAACTTTAAACTTTATGCAAAAAATAGAAACTTTTAACAAAGTACAAACGTTTTAATTAGAATTTATAGAAAAAATAAATAGCCTAATTAATTTTATATACTAAAGTGCAAGTTTAATATTGCTAAAAGATCCTGTTGATTTTTGAAAAATTGTTTGCTGGCGGTGTTACGCATTTTCTTCCAAACAAAATATGTACGAAAGTTTTTCTTACATGGAAGAAAGTGCGTAACACCGTCAGCAAACAATTTTTAAAAAATCAACAGGATCTTTTAGCAATATTAAACTTGCACTTTAGTATATAAAATTAATTAGGCTATTTATTTTTTCTATAAATTCTAATTAAAACGTTTGTTTCAATTTGATTCGTTCAAAAATTTGTTAATTTGTCAAAGGCATTTGACATCTTGACAATTTATCAAGAAAAAAGCTTTTTATTTTTGACATAGAATACGAAACACTTGATAAATTGTCAATATTGATAAATAAACAAGATGGTGAATTTATCAAGTGCACAGAATTAGGCTGTAACTATATTTAAAAAAAAAAAAATTTCCGAAAAGAAATTCAAGTAAAAAACTTTGCATACATTGCGAAAAATTCTCTGTGCCAATACTTTGATCCGGCACTATAAATATTTATTAATTATAATTCCATTCAATAAAAGAACTACAATAATTTATTAATTATAATTAATTGCCTTTATTTCTAGCATTCAAAAACAGTAGATAAAGCAGTGTAAAAATACGCTTTTTTAACGTAAATTAATCGTTTACGAGACTCGTTTACAATTAAAAAACGGACGTAAAAATATTCGCATACGAATGCTTTTTCGATCCGTTTACGACTGTTCGTAGGCGATGCACAATTTAAAGCGAAAAAGTGTTCGAAAAAGAGTCGTAAACGGCTATCATAAACGATTTTTAATCCGGTTTTTCTTCGAGAAAATATCCAATTACGAGCTCGTTTACGATGATTTTGCTGGCTGGGACGTAAATAAAAACTAAACGAAAAATATTTAAAATGAAGACATTGGAAATTAAAAAAAATTAATGCATAACTACACATTTCGGGGGCTTAGTGATACATTTATGTACGTATGTACATTATCGTTCATATCAATAGCACTCCCATTTCAAAGTGAGATTGTTTACCACTTTTACTATTTTTTTTACATCTGATTAAAACGTCAAATATTTTGACGAAAAATCGTTAAATTTAACTTTGTTTTGTATAAAGTTTTAAAACACGGTTTATATGCTTTTATTCGTATTTTGTACGTACGTAGATATGTATAAAAATGACATTAATGTACCAATAACGACTTTTTTGGAAATATTTGAGCAGTTGCCCCATAAACTATGTAGAGAATTACAAATTAAATAAACGAAAACAGTTTGTTATTACTTTTAGGGTCTAAGAAAATCGAAAAAATATAGTATATTACATTTGTACATCTTTTGTTTTCACATGACCAGGATGAGTAACATTGATGACAGCGCAACTAGCAACATATGAGTTTCAACCGTCCAACTCTGCATCCCTTTTTCAGTAGTTCAGAGACAGTTCTGAAATTTGTAGGGCGGAACTAGCGCTTTGCCAGACTGTCCCCAAATTTTGCTGCAGGGTGTAAACAAGCAGTTACATACATATCTACTTTCTTGGCTGATATGCACGTCTCTCTGGTTTGACTTGGTGTGCTTTTCGCTTTTTATAATTTTTCTCGAAACGACGCACAGTTTGACAGGTGCGGCCAAAAATAGTAAAAAATAGGTTGAAAAATTCGGAAAAATTTTAATGCCAATCGAAAGGAAATACTCGAGTACAAACGGAACCAAAATATTATTCCAAAATTTTAATTTAAATTATTATTATTTTTTAATTTTTGAAGTTAAAACAGAATTTTCTATGGAAAAATTTTCAGGTATATTAAAAGCATCATCAAATCCTGCACGAATATCAAATTATGTTGCAATCAGACTAAATTTGGTATACAAAACCGATATTTTTAGTTTCCATTTCTACGGTAAGTAGCTGTGTCCTTCATCCGATTTTGCTCAAATCTAACATTTTTCTGAATATATATCTACAAACTCTCTGTCCAAAATTTTATTGATCTGCGTTAACTCCTACTTGTGGCAACACACTATATTGGGGATGTTACACTGTGCAACGTTTTTTTGGCTGCCACAGCTGCTTTCCATTAAATTCCTGGCGATTTTCATCTTATCTTGCACGCATTTTTCCTTACGTCCGAGCGTTCGTTTACTCAACAATTGAAAACGTGACTTATTGTCACGTTGCTTGCTGTAGCCTTAGCTGTATAAGTGCTCTTGCCACTTGCGACGTATGCTGGAAAGAGGAGCTCCAGCACATATCAGCTCACAGCATGGGTGAAGAGCTTTTCTTTCGCTTTCTTGCTTCCTAGCTTCCCTTTCAAGAATTCTGCATCACTTTTATATTTATTAAATTTCCAAACGCTACTTTTATTATTATCTTCATTCTTCACCCTCGCTGTTGACTCGTAAAAAAGCGTAAACTAGTTAATTTTACCCATAAAATACGCGCCATATATTCCTCAAAACTTTTTCATGACTTTATTAGCAGCTGAAATTTTTCTCACTTTCTGCGCTTTCCTTTTTACTGGTTAGCTTTCTATTATTCTGAAATACAAACGCTTTCTTTTTTCTTTTTTTTTGCGCTTGCTGCCAACTTCCATTACCGCGTGATCAATTCAATTTTGTTCGCTCGCTTCAAATGTCATTAAGATGCTTTTCGCTGCAGCTGTTCTGCATTTCTATTCTAAGCAACCAACAACTAAATAAGTCCTTATTATCGCACGATCTTTGCAGTTTTGTTGTCTTTGTGTGTCTGTGCCTGTGTCGTCTGTCATCTTTGCCGTGACGTCTGTGTCACTGCTTAGCTCGCATTTCGCACGTTTCGTGTTGCATTTTTGCACTTAACCAACGCGGAATGCAATTATCTCTGCTTAGCAGCGGACATTACTTGTGGCTGTTTTCGTTTTTTTTTTCATTTGCGTTCAGAGTTTTGTCACGAAGAGAGTTAAAGTTTACTAAAACTTGCAGCAGAAGTTTAAATATTCTTCGGCTGAGTTTAACGACAGTCATATTTCAACATTTTGGACTTGTTTGGTTGGATAGAGGACAACAAATTAGAAAATGTTAGATACTTTCAAGACCACTAGCCGTAAAGCGGTGAGCAGTGCGTTGCCTTTGGGCATTTAATTCGGCGTGAAAAGTCCCGCTCCTTAACAGAGATACAATCCACCTCCGGTTGCAGCCTTAATACTACTTCTGTATGCCCCTCAAATCCTCTTTAAATATGTAAGCTGGGAGTGCGCTTTGACGAGCACTCTGCTCGGCATGATTACTTCTCAAAATTGCTTCTATGAGGCCTCTTTGGCGTACTGGATGGATAGGCTTTTATACCTGCCTAAGATTGACTTGTACTCATCCCAGATCTTGCTTCTATAATATGCGCTGCAGTATTTCCTTACCTGCTTCCGAAACTTTCTAAGGTGATCATTCCACCATACAAACCTCCTCATACAAACAGTCCGTCTTAGCGTCAAATTCGCGAAGTTAGTGTCTTCAAAAAGGAGTCACAAATCAGACTTCTCCCGAAGTAAAGTATATAGGAGTAATTCTGCATACAAAACTATCGTGGAAATCTCACGTGGAGCACAAGAATAGCATTGGCAACATTTGCATTTTAAACAGGTCTTTAGCCAAACGTGGGGTCTGTCAGCAAAGGGAATCCTCTAGATTTATACCTCTGTTATTAGACCCATAATCAGCTGATTGGATATGCTAAAGGTAGTATTTAAATTATTGAGATCGTAATGATAGTTTTCTTCATGACGCAATAAATAGGTGATTACTTCAGCAGCTTTCTCGCTTCGGACATTCGGTTGCCTTTTAATCACGCTCTAAACACTGCACCTGGTATAATTCCTCCACGGGTTTCTTCTTATTTATAGTAAAAATCGATTTCGAGACGTCAAAAGTGCTGGAATGAGAGTAAAAGTATTTACATGAAGAACGGAATGATTCGTTTAATTCAAAATCAGTTTTGCATGGCTTCAAAAACAGAGGTCAAAAGTTTCTTGATACTCGAGAGAGAGTATAAATGTTAACCTCAGCCAGAGGGAATGGGCTATTAATCAAGCCTGTGTAGGCAAATTAATGAGCTTTAGACGACTAGTGTAAGGAGGCCAAGGTAGCGCTTCCCTGGGAAACTCCTGAAGAAACATTAATGACGTTGGAAGAAACATTTTTTTTAAACAACTTTGCGTTATATCACTAAACACGTGCAGGCTTGGTGTGGGGATCGAAAACCGCAAACATTTCGTAAATTTTTTGTAAAAATATTCCTGCAAATGCAACCAATGTACATTGAAAAATAAGCACTATTAATTTTTGACTATAAAGACCTTCCCCTGGAAATGCCCAGATAAAATATGATTTTCCTTCTCGCCCAATTTACGCACCGTGCGGCGGCTGGTAATCCTCAATCATTACTCGCGAAAGTTGGGTAAAAATAGCACTCTCTTCAGATATTAGAAGCGAAAGAAATCGAAAGAAATTCTCTTTTATAGCAAAAGGCTTGCCGAATGCTGCATTTTAGCTTTCGGAAGACAAAGTGGTGCTCAAGGCGTTAATCATTTTGTACTGCGAGCTGCTCAATTATTACAAAATTATAATGGAGCTTAATTCTGCCACATCTTCCGTGGACCAAAAATCGATCGATTTTGTATTTTTGCTTTTTGGAGTAATTTCGAAAACTCATAGCTTTTAAACCCTTCGAGACTTCGTCTAGGAAAAAATGTCATATAAATTAAATTTGTTCATCTTTCTGAAATTTTCTTCATCTGAAAAACTAAAAATTAAAGCCTTTTTAAGAAATATTTTGCATAAGTAATAAGTAAAAGTTGATGAACACATTTCCGAGGATACCATGGAAGTAACAATGGTGAACTCATAAAAAATTGTTTTACCGGATTTTGTGGATATTTTTTTTTTTGTTTAAAGCGGTTGTATGAAATTAAATGATGTGCAGT